CCTCTTTGTTTGTATGTAATATCCTTTTTGTCTCAGAATGACATTTATACGGTAACAATAAATAACAGAGTAAAAGTCTTCTCGTGGCATTGTCTTTGTTTTCTGCTTATCGTTATGTGACCTTTTTTTATTGTACCCATTTACTAACATTTAGGTCGTCATTTCGTCAAACTAAACTAACAAAAGATATATATTTGAAACTGACAAGACAACACACAAACAGACCGTGTAAAGTACAGTGTCGCATACAGGGAAGGGAACGTTCCGTCGCACCCCTTTATAGAGAACGCACAGCTGTGGTGGGACTGAGTTTTCCGTTCAGTTTCCAATATCGATAGCTTGAGGTTTGTGTATTGATGATTGTAGTCAGTATTTAGTGTGCCACTTAGTAATGACTGTTCAAATAGTCTTCTCATGAGCTGACAAATGTTTGTTTTTGGAGAAGGTATCTGGTTTTGGAAGGGGTATTTTTAGTTTTGAGTGCCTTAGAGCACTTTGCAAGAAATGTATATTGTTATGGTAGAATGGGTTATTATGGTGACCGGAGTTTCAGTTATGAAAACACATTTGTCTCATTAGAGGACAATTTGTTCTGTTTCGATCGACTTATTCTTTTTTGTGACCAGTATTTTCAGTTTTGGTCATGTAAGTGCATTTTGCAAAAGATATTCAGAGTTATGGCAAGTGTGTTTCTGTTTAGATGGCTATGCTCTTGTTTTGAAGAAATGAATTTAGATTCTAAAAAGTGGGTTTAGCGATTGAGAAAAACTGTAAGTGTATTTTTATGAATGTCAATCGTAATGCCGCATTAAATAGATTTAACTAGCAACGACAAATTCACAATGCATGTTTTTGTCAGTTTCCCGGGAAATCTGACGGTGTCTCCAGTGACCTTAATGTTCATCAGCTGATTTGGCACTGCGAGGGAATTGACAAATTATTAACAGTGGCTAGTTAGCTATTTGAAGCTAAAAGGTCACAAACACGAATCAGTAGAGTTATTCAATATTAGCAGGGAAGACATGTTATTATAGTTGCAGTGTGTTGATGATATAGTGAAACGAAACTGAGCGACGGGGGCGTGCCAGTTGCTCTGACAGTTTGACAAATGCTAATGTTGCTAAGCTAAGCTAATAGGAATGCTAATATCCGTAGTCCTCTGGCTGCAAAAAGATACTGACCTTGCCGCTAGCTGTTCCTCCACTGACCCCTATTAAGAAGGGACGATTCCGGGGTCTCTCTGCTTCCTCTAGGGCTCCGAAAACATCCATCGCCGTCCAAAAGTTCAGGAGACTACAGATATCTATATAGCCGGGCTGTGTGCTTGCTATGCTATCTGTAGTAATAACAACGCACTGTTCTCGCGATATCATAGGGATGTCTCAACAATAAAGCGCAGTTTACGCGAGAACTCAGCATGAAGGTTCAACACTGGACAGTTTGGAGTGTAACTGCGTTTAGTATTTACATCAAATAAGATCAAACTACTTACACATGTTTAGATTAAATATAACATTGTAATAATGATGAAGTATGAGTATTTATAACCTTGAAAGATTATTGGAATTTTACACATGAAGTCTTAGTTTAATGTCCAAAACAGTTTATTATGAATAGTTTTAAATGAATAAATCTGCATTTGACTGTTTCATGTGCAATCAGTTAGCTGCGTTTATAATACTCTATAATAAAAAAAATACAGGAGCATACATGTTTCTCTGATCAGTTGCAATCCTCGTAGAATCATAGAATCCATGACAAAAAATACATTAGTAACACAAAAAAACATTAGGTTTTTATTATAGAATAAAATATAAAACATCTCACAATACGAATACTAAAAGGTATCATTATTGTTGTTTTTCTGGGTCTGATTTTTCTGTGTCGTCTTCACATTGTGACCTTTCGTTCCCAGATTCATCCACCACGATTTCAAAAGCAGAACTCCCATCCACCCTCCTCACAGTCTCTCCTTTGGCAGCAAGGATTTCCTCGATATTCCTTAAAGGTAAACAACAAAAACCCACAGCACATTAGCGATTCCAATATTTATCCAATATGTCAATTTCTGTGGTGCATTTTTAACTGCTTATGCTCCTGAATTTAGTATTTCAATACAACTGGATAACTTTGTCTTAACTTAATGATCATTCTAAAACAGATACGCTGCTATGTACAAATTCTAGCTAGGTATATTAAACCAGAAATTATGTTTGGGTAATTTACAGACAGTTGCCATTACATAGTTTGTCCACCAGAGTGCAGTAACACATTTCTTATTCAACTCAAGTGTCACTTTAGCCAAATGTAAGTGATGCTTGTCAAAGCTTTGTTTTGATCAGTTAATATTATCTATAAATTATGTTATATCATTCTATCAGATTTGTTTTACCCTCATAAAATAATCCAGGATTCCTACACATATTGGCCAATGGATTTATATGACTTTAGGTACAATTTGCATGACTACACAATATGTGAAGTCTTCATCCTATCTCATTTCAGACGAAAAGCACAATAAGATAGCAATATTTTTACATGGACTAGACGTGTTTAAAATGAGTTGAAGAATAATCAAAATTTAATGGCAGAAATTGGCAGAAAAGGCGGTTTTCAGCCTTTCCGTCTTTTTCTCTTTTTTTTTAAATAGTGTTGAACTGAATATGGGTTTATATTCAGCCGTCAGAGACATGGACAGTGTCACTAATATTTCTTATGAGACATCCAGCAGCACCGACCTCTTCCCTTCCAGGTCGGAGAACCAGCGCAGGTTGTCAGCGATGATGTGATGGTTCTCACACCCCGGACACGTCACGATCACAACTCCTTTGTGATAGGCCAGCTTCGATATCCTCTTTGTGGACCTGGTAGAGCAAACCTGCAAAAGTTATTGATTTTTGTTAGAATATATGCATATCATCTGTCACTGTGAATATAAATATACTTGTACATACCATACAAAACCAAACACTAATTCTGCAGATGTAAATGTAAGGTACTGTACTTTAGTATTTCTATTTTACACTACGTATACTTCTAACCCACTACAGAAGGTTAGTGCACTTATTACTCCACAACATGTGGAACATCATTTATATATTCCTATTTTTAATTCAAAATATAAACAAATAAATGACGATGCATTATTTTAAATAAACAACCCACGGAACATTAACAAATGAATTATAAATATGTATTATCAATAAACATGTAAGAATATATACAGTACCATATACATTAGTGTAATGATATTAATAAGGATAATAATGCTGAAACACATTGTTAACATTCGGAGTACTTGTTGATACTTTAAGTATTTATTTTATTGAGTATTTCTACACTGTGGTATTACTTATTTTGACGAAGTAAAGAAAACAACAGTCTGCATGTCGGGTATTTGACTCAAACACATAACTTAGAAAATAAGACCAAAGACAACCAAACATGTTTGAATAACTTTGACATGTAATCAAATAAACACCCAGCTGACAGGAGATGAGAAGTATAGAGGTCAAAATATGCACTTTGTACTTTATTTAATAATAATATAAACTGTATTAAAATTATATAATAATGATTTCAATGTTTACTAAAATAATACAGGGTAATACAGATATATTTTTTTAAAACTATGCATAATGAGTACTTTTTGGGAAAGATGTTTTGATACTGATATTCTTGTTATTTGACTGAAATGACATTGTATGCTGGACTCTGGTAGGCCTATTACTAAAAACAATTAAAAAGAAAGAAAAATAGACCTTTTGCTTCGACTTTTAATCAAATAAAGCAGAAGCCCTACTTTGGTTCATTTAGGATATGATAAGATGAGATGAGATCATCTCCATTTTATGTCTGTATACAGATATATGAGCATGGTTAAATACATTTCAATGTGCAGGTGAGTGCGGGTCCTACCCATAGAGGTCATACCTTGCATGTGTAAACGAGCTGGTAATGTTTTGATTCGATCTTTCCAATTGCGTCACTTCTGACCCTCAGTGAAGAGGAGAATTCTCTGGATCTGATGTATGTAGGTAACACCGGCTGACAGGAGAGGAGATGCCCGGACTTCAGGGCTCTTTTTCGGCTGCAGCTGAGAACCACACCGGGCCCAGACGGTGCTGAAAGACTCCGAGAAAAACCTCGAATGAACCGGCAGACAGGCAGCATCGTCCTGGAAGAAGCCGATGAACGTAACATATCCAAACATGTTAGTAAAAGCGACATTTCAGGTAGTGTTTACAAATGCGTTTCATGCGATTTCAACGTATGGTTTGTCGCGGCCCGATGACATCACGCATTTTGGTATTTTCAAATTAATGGTATTTTATTTTTTAATCTAACAAAGTTTGATCCATCTGTTTTTGTTTGAAAACATTGTATTACGTTTTGGAAAGAGTTTTAGAAATATATAAAGTGGGAAACAAGACATGCAATTATAATCAGTCATTTTAAATGCGATAATAATGTAATTACTTGTGTGGACTTTGTAATCTATTATAACGATATGTTTCAACCAATGGTTTGCACATTTATTCTGTGATTCATTCAACCCCGTCTTATACATTGTTTAGAATTCAAATGTAATGTTATTTCGAGTATCTTAAATTTGTTATGAGAAATACCTTTTCTCAGAGTCACCAATGATCACGTTTATTGGCATTAAAAAATATATATATTTTAAGAAGATTAAATTATAGACCTTTATGGGAATATACATTCATAACAAAATATCTCTCACAATTGGCCCAACTGCCTACTACAGACAGTGTAGCTCAGGGGTGTCCACACTTTTTTCCCTGAGGGCCACATACAGAAAAATATACAAAGGGCTGGATCGCTCACTAGATGTATACTGCCTCATAAATTCAGTTATAAGTTATCAAAATCAATCAAATGTAGGTTAATGATTCTTGTGAGTGTTGGCAGCTCATCCCTTAAAAAAGAAGCCTCAGTTTGATGTTGCATGGGAGAAATAGGAAGGGTATATTTCAAGCTTGTTATGTAAATAAGTTATTGGGCTTTTTTCTTGTCATATGTTAAAAGAAAATTCCAACTTGAATTGACTGAATTTATTTGAAAAGTGGTCTTATTAACACATGAATACTACTGTGTAATATATGTTTACATTTATATTTAAGAAGTAAAATATAAGACAAGCACAAGTTTCATTTTTGGGCCATATTCCATTATGGAAGTCCTGGATCTTGAGTCGTGGCTGTGGTCCTGGATCATAAGTCCTGGATGGATATACTCGTGGATTCATCTTCCTNTGCTCTCCCTGAGGTTTCTCCCATGCTCCCCTTTAAACTGTGGGGTTTCTCTGGAAGTGTTTCCTTGTACGATGTGAGGGTCTAAGGACAGAGGGTCTAAGGACAGAGGGTCTAAGGACTGAGGGTCTAAGGACAGAGGGTCTAAGGACAGAGGGTCTAAGGACAGAGGGTGTCGTATTGTCATACTGATATTCTGTACAAACTGTGAAGTCCACTGAGACAAATGTAACATGTGTGATATTGGGCTATATAAATAAACATTGATTGATGATTGATATGTCACAATAACAGAACAGCATCAAGTAACACACGTTTTAAAGGGCTCTTAAGAACATTGTAATGCCTTATATAGGTTCCAAAGTGACGCTGAATGTTACCCGTCGAGATGAGGCGCCATCTTTGTTGTGCTGCTTGTGCGAAGCCGAGGAAGGTCAACCGAGGACGAGGACATGGAAGTAGGAGAGAAGAAGGAGAGGAATGAGAATAAACAAGAAACTTCAACAAAGTGTGGGCTCTACTGAAGAATAGGTGCAGATTTTTACATTTGTTTAATAATGCAAATATGACCACGTATGGATCATACAGAGGAAGACAGTCTGTAGACATTTCCTCCTTTATTCATTTCTATCTTATGGGTGTTTTAGTGAAGTCTACAATAACCTCAAGCCACTTATGATTGTTGTTCCAGACATAATACACACAGTACTCTGCAGAATACTTAAAGATGAATACAGTCAGGAGAGAGAGAAACACAGCCTTGGAGACACATTACCTTGGAAGAGCAGGATGCTAGAGATTCTGTAAATTTTACACAAAAACGGCAAGAGAAAAAATGTAACACATTTGTAGGTAAAAAAATGAATGAATCCATGTTTCTGTGCACTTTGAAAATCTAGCTGCACAAAGTACAATCTGCCACTCAATGGCAAATTCTAGTTTACAGTCTCAAAAGGGACAGAGATGAATAGACCATGTCAGTGACGTGTTAAATGGTATTAAAAAGGTGCAGAGGGGTTTCAAAGTGTAGCTCACATGAAGAACTGAGAGCCGTTGGTGTCCTTCCCGCGGTTGGCCATCGACAGCAGGTAGGCTTTGTCGTGTTTGAGAAGGAAGTTCTCATCTGTGGGGAGCAGAGAAGAAACAGCGCCGTCTCACTGTGTGTTCGCCGGTAAAGAACAGCGGAAATATTCAGGGGAGAACAGGACTGTAAACCATCAAACCTCACCAACCAGTCCTTCCAGAGAGGGATTTGATGTTTTGTTAAGTATCTAGTCTTTCTCTGAAGCGTAAGTTAAATAAAACGTATGTTCTGAGCTGGTGTTAAAGAACATTAAGCTGGGTTCGGTTCAGTTGAGTGGATTATCCATCCTTTCTACTCTACCTTCTTCACAATTAATATGCAATTTTTAACCTTAATCTTACTCTTTTAATACTTTTATATGTTCACTCGCTTAAAACAATGCTACCTTATTTGTAACCATGGTGAACTTACATGTTAATATTCTATAAATGGCCATATTATGATATTTTTCAGGACCATTTTGTGCGTACATTTCCCCGCTGTGATTTATTGGACTCAAATATAATGAGAAAAGCTCCAAGTCATTAAGCTAATTGCAAATATAAAGGTTATTTAAAACGCTTCCAGTTTGTGTTCCAAGTATTTATTGTATCTACATGTGTCCACGGTGCAGAGCTAAATATCTCCACTGATATTCTTCATCTAGCAGAGAACCCCGCCGCCTAAATATCACGTGACTATAAATAGCACGTATGTAACAGAGAGTAACTTTAGCACTCTGCGTCGGGGGGGCGTGATGTCTGACAGGAGGCTGTCTGAGTGAAACCTCCTGCAGTTCAATGCATCTGTACAGGGGGGGGGAGGGGGGAGGGGGGGCAGTGTGGACATGGTGTTACTGAGCTGTGTACATCTCTTACCTTCTCATTTTGCAAAAGACCACTCTATAAATAAAAGAATATGTTGAAAATTTTAGGCAGGTAGATCGTAGAGAGAGAGAGAGAGAGAAAACCTACTCTCCATGCTCATCTGAGAAAGCCCACTACTCAATAGAAGACAGCACGATACAAAAGTGAAGGTCAAAGGAGACAAACGTAGGAAAATGACATTATCATCACAACATGCAGCATCGTGGTCATGCAGAATTAGCTGTGTTGTATTTAGATGAACATTCAAGAGACTGTGTATTCAATAATATTCACATTACCTTCAAAGTAGCCGCCGTATATCGACTCCCCTCCTCTTCCATTTCCTGGAAACCAACATAATAAAATATTGAAGATAATTGCACGGCATTAAAAGGAAAGTGCTGTCTCAACGTAAGTGAATAACGGCTGCTAATATGAACACAGTTGGAAGCCTATATCTATATCAGGATGTAATAGCTGTGAAACTAAGCAAAGTATCAGCATTATTGAAAACCCTTTTGTACCTTAGAGAGTGTTTACTTCCTCTCAGTCAGACCGAATACCCTCTAGGAACAGCTGTGTTGCTTCCCATTGGATGTAATGTAAAACAACACACACTTTCAGAGTATATGAAACAGATTATTACCTTCGGTGAAGTCGCCTCCCTGGACCATAAAGTTCTTTACCACTCTGTGAAAGGTGGAGCCTTTGAAGCACAGCTTTTTCCCGGTGAGTTTACCAGTTCCCTTTTCACCTGAAATCACACGCATGTTAACTGAGCTCTCGTCCAACACAAAGCATGACAGAGCGGCTACTCAATGAGGTTCCTTTGCACACTGTGTCGTTTACATCCACTACAAACTCTGGAACACTCTGGCCGTTTCTCAATGTCGAGTAAACCCGCTGCAGAGCCACTATTTCAAGTTTACTACGTCATCGAGTGGCGCCGAATGCTGGGCATTTAAACAGTCCTTCGGCGCCGCTCGATGACGTAGCGTGCTTGAAGTCGTGGCTCTGCATCAGGTTTACTCCACATTGAGAAACGGCCACTGCCAGGAAAACTCAGTCGCCATTTTTTAAACAACAGCTGAAAACATATATTATATTATTTTATTTAGCTTTTAATCAGCGAAATCCCCCTTTCATAGGTATTTTAATCTTTATTAATATTGTTATTATAAATAAATGATATATTCGTATTCAATTTGATCTAATTATTTTAAATATAATTTTTAATATTTAGCGTATTTTATTATTTTTTGACTTATGTCCTTCTTACGTTTACTGTGTGGGTTATCTGTTCTGAATATTTGGATTATTATTATTATTATCAAACTTTTTGCCTATTTTACCTCCTTGTAAAATATATCTTCAGTATTTATTTTGACCTGAATTAAATTTATGTTTTCTGTTTATCTCGTCTTTAGTGTCTTATTGTTCAAGCACTTTGAGCTGCACGCTGTGTATGAAAAGCACTAAACAAATAAAGCCTTATTATTATAATGATGTATACCCTGTGCTTTTAGGTGTTAACATGCTGCCACATCAATTAAAGAAGGGAATAAATGCAAATATGTGGTCGATTTCAATAAAGTGGATGCCTTTGTTTGGCCTCCTGCTGCTCGTTAAAAACCTTCCTCTGGAGTGAAAACAGAATACATCGTTCCAGATCTAAAACCCCCGGGACCTCCCCTTCCCTGGGGTGAGACATGTGTGCAGAGATTTCACTCGATGTGTTTCAGGGTGTGTTTGGAGCACAGAGGGCTCGCTGTTAGAATGAGCAGATTAGGTTGCTCATCTTCTCCAAATGTTGTTCCAAGGGTTTGGTTCCTTATGAGTCCATCCCCTGCTAAAAGGACACATTAGATACCTGGGTTGTGTGTGTGTGTGTGTGTGTGTGTGTGTGTGTGTGTGTGTGTGTGTGTGTGTGTGTGTGTGTGTGTGTGTGTGTGTGTGTGTGTGTGTGTGTGTGTGTGTGTGTGTGTATCACCGTGTGTGTGTGTGTGTGTGTGTGTATCACCGTGTGTGTGTGTGTTTGTGTTGTGTGTGTGTGTGTATCACCGTGTGTGTGTGTGTGTGTGTGTGTGTGTGTGTGTGTGTGTGTGTGTGTGTGTGTGTGTGTGTGTGTGTGTGTGTGTGTGTGTATCACCGTGTGTGTGTGTGTATCACCGTGTGTGTGTGTGTGTGTATCACCGTGTGTGTGTGTGTATCACTGTGTGTGTGTGTGTATCACCGTGTGTGTGTGTGTTTGTGTTTGTGTGTGTGTGTGTGTGTATCACCGTGTGTGTGTGTGTATCACCGTGTGTGTTATCACCGTGTGTGTGTGTGTGTGTGTGTGTGTGTGTGTGTGTGTGTGTGTCACCGTGTGTATCACCATGTGTGTGTGTGTGTGTGTGTGTGTGTGTGTGTGTGTGTGTGTGTGTGTCCAGGAAAAGGAACAGACTAACGAGCCGTGTCTGCCCTTGTCAGCGTTGCATTCCCGCGGCCAGGTGGGGTGAAAAATGAGAGCGAGGACGGATCTGCAGCCGGTTTGCAGATTTATGGCTCTCTCCAGGCAGAGCGCGGCGACTACAGTACAGCGTGTCCTGCTCGGCGGGATGAAATATCTAAAGTCGGGAGACACAGCGGCTTCCTGTGACTCCATCTGTCACTGTTACACTACACACACACATCCTTTCCTCAACACCAACGAGGGGTGTGTCTACATGATGTCGTGGCTCTAACTTTCCGTTTATATTTCATTTTCCTGTATATCTGCCGACTTATTATGTTTCTGGGAAAGACAGAAAGAGAACATATCTGAAATGTAATAATAAGGAACAGACATACAGTTCCCTTTAAATCCCAAATATCTCTGATTAAATCTGAGAGGTTGCCTCTGACTGGGGCTCTGTTTTTCCAACTCGTTCAAAATCTTTTTATTAGTTTTTTTTGCAGACACGGCACTTTCAGCACATTATATAAAGTACAGGACAATTTGTTTGTTTACTCGTTATTTTTCTGACAGAAATATGTCAAATGTGACAAGGAACAGACATGATTAAAATCCAGAACATGATCGAGAACTTGCCCGTGAATCCAAATATCTCTGATTGAATTGGAGCGATTGAATGAGTGTGTACTTTGGAGCCATGCAAAGACTTACTGTTCCTTCCATGTTCTCTTACAGGTCTATCTTGTTTTGTTATTTTAACACAAATACTCGGTTAAGCAATGCCCGTGGTGTAACTGCTTCTACTCACCAGTGCACAAACACAGAAAGTTTTTGCTTGTCTTGGGACAAACGTCCGAAAACAGTTGAAAGACAATGCGTCCGACTGTAAAACACAAAAAGAGCAACATATTAAACACACCATCATCTATTTCATGTTTAATGATAAGAGGCTTTGTCAATGTAAACGTGGAGCTACAAAGAATGTGAGGGACGGCACATTAATAGCCTTAGGAGACAATTAAGAGCTGCAAGTAGCACTCTTTTTACTACGCTGAATCCTGCGGTGAAGCTCAGACTTTACACTTTTCTATAGCCAGGAGCAAATGGAGAACTACCCTTACATCCTGATTGGAGCATAGCTCTCCTTGGCCAAATATGACCGTTTATTTGTACCTGAGGCCTTTCAAATGGTCTTTAAATTCACATCAGTTGCACAAAGCTGAGAAGTAACAGACTGTTATTACCACAAAACCACAACATACAGTAAAATTTTTTTTTTTTAATGATGTCACTTTACAGTTATCGGCTGTTTACATATTATACTTTTCAAAAATTCTCTTACCTGGCTCCCGGTTGAGCTCCACATCAAAGTAACACTGAGGGCGGTCTTTCACCCCCATTGTCACCTAAGTTACCTGAAACGAAGAATGAAACCAAGAAAGCTAAGCAGGAAACATGATAAGAATGAACTTCTCTTTAAGAAGCAGTCAGCTGTACAGAACATTTCAAGGAAGTGTGCCGGCAAACAAATGTAGAGACACTGAAAGACAGAGAGAAACAGAAAGGGGAGGAGAGAGAAAGAGGGGAGGGGGAGAGAGAAGTCTATGGGGAGATGTATTGGCTTTCCATATCACAAGTAGAGCATGGCGTTGCTTCCTTGTTTCCACTGATCAATGTTTGAAATGTCACAAACATGCTGATACTAGATTGACTGAAATTCTGAAATTCACCAGACCCACCCTGCCTCAACTTGTTTTTATCTCCTGTTCTAATAAAGACAATAGACTTGATATATCTTCACACTAATATGTGGTGTGTCAGCAGCATACACACACCGATACATCCTCTCTGCTGGACAGTGTATTACTGGCAAAACAGCAGAGCGTCCAATAATCTGTCAGCAACGTCTGGATTTATTAAAAGCTTAATCTTCTCACAATTTGAAATACACAGGGTGCATATTGTTCAGGAAATGCTTTGTCACTGTGCTGACATGTTGTAATTATGAAATGACTAGTGTGTTTTGGGTATAGTAGTGTGACAACGAGATAAGAGATCAAAATTTGATTATGATTATCACTGGTGTTTGCTGTATGTACATTCACAGCTAACAGTGCAGCTGAGTTTTACTGCATTCACATTTCACACTAATACAAATATGTTGACGGGAATGCAGTGTATTAATAGCCAGAGTCTTATCGTGTTACATTGAATGTGTTGATGTGCTAGGTATTGTCAGATTGTAATAAGCAATAATCGCAACAACTCAAGGAGAAGTCTGAATTGTGCAAAGTATTATCAGTTATTTAGTTGCACACCTATAGAATTGATCACAATCTGCAATGCTACTGTTTTTGAAGCAGAGCAACATTTAACAATATTGCAACATTTTGAAACCAACCTAGTTAACTTATAATAAACACCAAGTGGCCTAAACTAGATCTCCCCCAGGGCATGAAGACTGCAGTGACTAATACATGATTTAAAAGCAGTCCAAATGTAATCCATCACAAAGGGTGTCAATCAAAAACAAGGAACAGCTGATCAAAACACAGTTCACACGAAACTGTTAACCCACTTATGTCAACATGCACTATTTGTTTAACAGCTAACAGTCAATACTGCAAACAATCTTAAATTACGACATGTTTATTCCTAGTGACAGAAAAAAAATATGTAAATGTGAAAATATTGTAAACAAAAACGTTGAAGCTTCCAAAATGGTTGTGCTAACAGCTAGCAGCTAGCTCTCTTCCGTCCAACAGCTCACAGTTCGCACTTAATATTCACATTTTACGTGATGTTAAAAAAGAACAACTTGATATTAATGTGCTAAACACAAAGCGTTACTCACCTCTGCACAGTAGCTAGCCAAGTACTCAGCTAGTCACTGACGGTGCTAAGTTCGCTCTTAAGTGAAAGGGTTGCAGCGCTGCATTATAACTACGACTGGTTTGAGTTTTTTGACCCTCTGTAGATTCCGTAGTAGATTTGTATTTTTTTACAGCTTTTCTTAATTTTTGTATTCAAGGACATATAAATATAATATATTTTGTATACTATAATCTTCTCATCAAAGGCAGAAATATGAAATAATAATTTTAAAAAAGATACATAAAAAAACCCGACTGGTTTTGAATGTTTGGTCCCTCCCTTGTTTCCGTAGTGCATTTGTTGTGGTTCTTTTGTATCCGGAAGAATATATGAAGCTAGCTCGTTTGCTAATTTAAATATAACTTCTTCCGCATATGTTAGAACACATGTTGTATGTTTAAATCTCTATATTTAGAAAGTACGCAATTGTAACTTGTATGTGTAGCTTTTTGCTGGCTTACTACTGCTTTATATGATGCTATAGCAAGCTAGCCTCCAGGAGCTAAGTCACAAAGTGCAGCATGAAACCCATGATACTGAGGTAAGGTGTTATGTGTTTTTACACCTATAGAATAACCATAAACTGATATTTGTTACTGTTTTAAAAGCAGGGGCATTTGTACCAATATTGCACAATTGAAGAACATACGTAGTTAACTAGTAATAAACACCCAGTGGTCAGTCCATGTGTGCACCTGCTGAAACTAGTGTATGATATGCAAAGAAAACAGGACTGTTACATTATTCTTTCATGTTTATCTTTTGCCAGAACTATTCCAAGAGTAGTAGCTCATACAACTTTATTTGATGTAGCTTTTGGCTAACTGTGTCTAGGGAACGTGGTGTATATATATATATATATACTGTAGAGCTGACATGATTTGTTGATTAACTGATATAGGAAGTCAAAACACAGGAAATCTATTTTGATCATGTTTGAATGTTCAAACCAAAAAAACAATCCTCAGTTGTAAATACAAAACAGAATATGACATATAGAGTTGTCAGAAGTGCCTTTAGAGACATATGATGAGTATTTTTTTAACACTTATATTTTTTAGACCAAAAATGAATGGATTTGTTCAAGACAATTAAGCTCTTCACCCCATGCAGGCAGTGTCTTCTCCATGGACCTAGTGGATCATGCCTCTGATCCTGTTTGCCTTCGTGGTTCGGCTCAGGGATGGACTCCCCCTGTCGGCCTCCACAGACTTTGAACACTTCCGAGAGCTCCAGGAGAGGAAGCAGCAGCTCAGGACCATCAGCAAGACCCTGGCCCGATTCCCTGAGAGAGGGACCGTCAAGGGCCAGGAGCTCAACATATTGTAAGGATTCAGGAAACAACGCGGCAGCAGACTGTCTGTAGATCAGGGGGGTCCAAACTTTTTTCACAGAGGGCCACATAAGGGCTGGGCCGCTCACTAGAGGTATATCGCCTCATAAGTTCAGTTATAAGTTAGCTAAAGCAATCAGATGTAGGTACATGATGCTCGTGAGTGTTGGCAGCTCATCCCTTAAAACAGAAACCTCAGATTGATTATAATAAGGAGAAATAGGAAGGTTGTGTTTCAAGCTTGTTATGGAAGTAAGTAATCTTAGGTCACAGGCTTCTCCAACAGTGCAACACAATAACAAAGATAAACAGAAAAATATAGTGCAAGTAAATATTAAAAAGTAAATACAAAAGGAAAAATAGTTTTAAAAAAGTGAAATAGAGTCTATATGCAAGCTATTGGAATAATATATTAGATAAATAGATACATAATTACTAAGTAGCAGATTGATGTTATGGATGTTGTTTCAGCAGTTCAGGTGTTTAACAGTCTTATTGCCTGTGCGATGAAACTGTCTCTGAGTCTGGTGGTTTTAGTCCGGATGCTGCGGTACCGCCTGCCAGACGGCAGCAGACTGAACAGTTTGTGGCTGGGGTGATGGGGGTCTTTTATAATCCGGAGGGCTTTCTTCCTGAGCCGCTGGGAGTAAAGCCTGTGTCACACTGTCCCGAAATTGACACCCGATGGACACACGATAAAGGAAATGTTCAAATTTGGCTCTGATCGTAACAGCATCGGGCCATTCGTGAGGGCATCCGGAGAAGTTTCTCAGCAACTTCGTGAGCGGCAACTTCGTAAGCCACTCGTGAGGGCATCTTGTCAAATCGTGTCACCTTCTTGTTATCATCGGTGCCATCGGGCATTCGCCCTCACTCTGATCAGGGCGAATGCCAGATGGCACCGATGATAACAAGATGCCCTCACGATGGCCTTACGAAGGAGCAAATTGACACACGAATTCAACACGAAAATGAACCTTCGCAAGGTCCTTTTGCCACCGCTCACGAAGTTGCTGCCGGAGCCTAAGAAACTCCACCGGCGGTCATACGATGGCTTAAGATGCCCTCACGAACAGTGGTGTAGTGGGGATTTTTTTACTGGGTGGTTGGGGTGGGTGGACGGGGGGAGAGACACTATGAACTGACAATGTAATGTAAATGTTGCCTTCGTGGGTGGTTCGGGGCCATCTTCGTGCGAAATTCACAATTCCATATTCGTGTGTCCATCGGGTGTCAATTTCGGGACAGTGTGACGCGGGCTTTAAGGTCCTCCATGGATGGCAGCTCCGTCCTGGTGATGTTCTGTGCAGTTTTCATCACTTTAACTAAGATGTGAAAATGTTTCCAACTTGAATTGACTGCATTTATTTCAAAAGTGGTCTCAGTGACACACGAATACTACTGTGTGATATGTTTACATTCATATTTAAGAAGTACAATATAAGCCGAGCACAAGTTTCATTTGTGGCCCGTACTCCATTATACTTTTTGAATTGGCCGTAGTTTGGACACCCCTGCTGCTGTAGAGGCTCAGGGTGTATCTGATTTTGTGACGCTAAAGACGGAGAGAACGTTTGATCACAGGGGCATCGGTGTCCCGCTGTGCCCGGCTGTTTGTTTACTAAACACCTTTCTGCTCTCACCTGCTCAGCTTCATCTCTTCAGAGGGAGTGTCCTACATGACGGTGTGTCACTGCAGCCTCCCTGTGGCTAAGGCCTTCTGCTTCCTGGAAGACCTGCGCTGGGAGTTCACAACATGCTTCAATAGCACTGCTGTTTCCCTGGCAGACAGGCCATATCCATTTTTGGAATTTGGTGAGTTTGAGGAGAAATCTGTTGATCATTTGGGGAATCACAAACAAAGCTCCTGTGTTGAGGTGTTTTAGAAAGCCACATCTCTTTGATAAGTGCTGGTCTGGCTTTAGGAATTATGTAGAAAACATCCAACAACCGGGCTGAAGAAGTGCTATGACAAATACTCATGCATTTGCTGAGGCAAGTAGTTGAATCTTTCTTTCTCCTTTTTTGACGATTACTGGTAGAGGTGGGAGGGTCATTACAGTAATTGCTATTACTGTAATGGTCTTTTTATTATTATTATCATTATTGTTTTGTCATTTTTATTTTTTATTTTTGTATATATTGCACCTGCATTTTCTCCTGTTATTGTGTTATGTGTGGGAAAAACCAATTAAATAAGAGATATTTTAAACTCTTATATATAAACTAATATGTTACAGACAGCACCATTCAGAAGCTGAAGCAGCAGTACAACCAGAGCGGGGGTCCGGCGCTGGAGGTGACGTTGGCAGAGGTCCAGGGGGATCTGATCATCCATCCACCGCAAGAAATTAACCTGGAGGAAGTGGACCTCACCAACGGCACTGCTAATGGACACATGGAGCAAGGCCCTGCATCAGGTAAGACTGACTCATACAACGTAGCCTTTATTATTCCATGTTGTTTTGTCATGTTAACAGTATTTATGGGGACTTCTCTTTCAGGTCAGAGTGTTAGACTGGAACCAGTGACGGCGCCAGGCATCCTCTCTCTGGTTCTTAATATCGTGTGTGCATCGTTGAACATAATCCGTGGTGTTCACCTCATAGAGTACACATTTCAGGTATTGTAAAAACTTCAAATATGTCCATAGAGGAGTGTAGAATGCTTGTGCTTCATACATTATATTTGATGTGTTTGAATGATGCATTTACAAAGTGTTGTTTAAGAGAAACAATGCTGCACGGTGTCTTTCTCACTCACTCACTGTAACAAACCCATGTTTAGCTGGGGACTGTGTTTAAAAAAGTTCTTGAATAAGCCTACAATAATTCCAAGAGTGACAAGTTTGCATTTTTAAACAGACCTCATTATTATCAAACTAATGCTTCCACAGCAAAATGCTAATACACAGCGGCTGTGAAAGCATTAGTTTGATAATAATGAGGTCTGTGTAAAAATGCAAACTTGTCACTCTCGTGTGAATAAGCCCTAATCTGAAATAAATGTGCTTTACTTCAAATGATGTCAAATCATCAGTTTGTGTCATTGTATGCTCTCTCCACACACAGGATGATTATGAAGGCATCTGGAACGTTGTGGCGTTTCTGCTGGCGTTTGTCTGTTGTGTGTGTCAGGTAAATATAGTTCAGTTTGATATGTCTTTCTGACACTGTTGGGAAAATACTGAATGTCCTCTTCCAACATGAGAGTAACATGATAACAAATGTATCAACTGTAGCTGTGAACATGACAGGATGTGTGATTACCTAGAAGAGCATCAGGACTGTTTGAGGCATATGATAGCTATGTGATTAACATGATGATTCAGCCTCTATGGAGAGAGACATATGACAAGCATGCTCATTTCTGACGTGGAGCTAATCTGAAGTAAACATTGAATGGGATGACTACTTCCATTCTGGAGAGGATCAGATACATGGATCCTGAGATTCAAGCTCAAGCCGGTGACGAGGGATTATTAACATTATTAATTATTCAGAAAAGTCAGAATTTTTTGAGATTTTTGAGAAAAAGTCAGATTTTTTAGAAAAAGTACGTTTTTTGAGATTTTTGAGAAAATCCGATTTTTGTAGAAAAAAAGTCAGACTTTTTCCCATTTTTGTAGAAAAAAAGTCAGATTTGAGTTTTTTGAGAAAAAGTCAGAATTTTGAGATTTTTGAAAAAAATCGGTTTTTGGAGAAAAAGTCAGATTTTTTAGCAAAAGTCAGTTTTTTTAGATTTTTGAGAAAAAGACAGAATTTTGAGAATTTTTTGAAAAAGACACAATTTTGAGAAAAAGCCAGAATATGACAAGCATGATCATTTCTGACGTGGAGCTAATCTGAAGTAAACATTGAATACTGCTTTCTATTCCTCCATCTTGTGACTGAGGAACTCCCTCTCTTGGATATCAGCATGTGAAGGACACTGTTCAGGAACTAGTTGATGCTCTGTATGTGATGACTACTTCCATTCTGGAGAGGATCACAGATACATGGATCCTGAGGTTAAAGCTCAAGCCGGTGACCAGTGATATGTTTCTAACAGACACCATGTGACCTCTCTGTGTTCGCAGTGCCACCTCTACCTGTTCCACTCCTCTCTGAAGAAACACAAGTCCTTCGCTCTGCTGAGTGTGATCGTCCTATGCAACCTCTACCTGCTCGGCCTGAGGAACCCGTGGCAGCTGCTCTTCCACATCTCAGTGGCCTGCATCTCCACCCTCCTCATCCTCCGCCGCAAACTCATAGACAGAAGCAATGACTGTGGAGTCTGAGGATGAGAGGACATTTTACTACGTTGCAGCGCGCACAGCTTGAGGTATGAAGAGGGGCTGTGTCATAACGGACAATTATAACTACAAGTTGGTATTTTCTTCTATACATTATGTACTTGCACTTTGTGTACATTTGTTTTCAAGAGAATGAAAGTGACTATTTCTGGAACTTTAAAATGATCTGCAAAAGCTTGGAGGTTTTAGAAAACAAAATGTTTGTGCCATCCTGTTCCAAAAATGTTTTTTAGGAAAGTTGTTTGTGTCAGAATTGCTGACCAAAGTTTTTCATGAAGATACAATCCAGTCCTACTTGCTATTTTTAAGCATTTCAGCTCTCGTACTGCTCAGTATTATTTCTGCTTTACAGGCTTCGATTATCTCTGTGTAATCAGTTTACATCGCTGAGTGACAGTTGGTGATTGTAACACATGTTAGTTAGTAGTGATATATCTGCTTTGGTAATGGTGGGTTTCATTTGAGGTCAGAAACAGTCGGGTAACGCGGACAATGCAGCTTTTTTTAAATGTATTTTGCATTATTTAATCATTAGGCTTCAGTAAAACCCTAATGCAGAGGTGTAATTATTAATCTGGGGGTTGTTTCGCTCCTTATTGTATGAAAAATATTGTTTTATTTTGTTTGATTGTGTTGTCTTATACACCGGCAAGTGCTCAGCTAGTCATTGCAAAGGATCAAATGTAAGGGCTCCGTTATTTAATGACTCCATTCAATACTGAGGGAATATAAGTGTTATATTAATTCTGTTTAAGGCATGTTATATTAAGTGATATTTAAGAGACATTTATCACATCAACTACATTTTTGTACGATCAAAGCAGATTCTTTTTTCTACTGATCTCGCCATTTTTAAATTGTAAAAACTGCGGGTATAAATATGAAGGCACTGATTTTATGGGTAAAATTGTTTTGAAATGAGTTGGAGTTTATTTATTTGGACTGCACTATTAGGCTAAGATTAGTTTTGCGTTGGTTACGGCGATTATTCTTGAATGTGCTGCATATCGGGTTCAGCTTTTTATATCCTGATTTATGTTTATTGTATGTAGCTCTCAGATTCCTATAAACATATCAAATCACATTTTATAATCGATGTTTGAATATAGAACAGTAGTGCTGCTAAACTAATAGGAAATGTCTAATTTTACTTAATTATTTTTAATGTTTTGGGTATTTAGCTTCTTAGATATTCATTTATTTAACAGTTGCACTAATGTCTGTTAAGCGTGGGAATTCATTTCTTAGTTTATTGTGTTTTGACAAACGAGTACCGTTGTGGCATTGTGTAATTATTTTACAAAGAAAGTTGGAGGGAATTTTAATCCAAATGTAGAAATTGTTTAGATAAAGTCACTTTTAGTTAGTACAAAGAGTGAGGAGTCTTTTAATAAAAAACTTAATTTGTTCCTAAAAAAATGTTTGGCTAATTTGTGAGAATTACACTGGCTTTGAGGAGTAAACTGTCAGGGGTGTCAAACTCAAGGACCGGGGGCCAAATCCGACCCGCGACTTCATTTTATGTGGCCCGCAAGAACTTGCAAAGAATATAACACGTTTATTATACGGTTACATGCCACTTTACAGAAGCAGGTTGCCCATAAACTACATGTCCCACAATGCATCTCATTTTGTGACATACCACTGAAGAGACTTGCAATTATTTGCCCTCGATTTCTGCTTTCAGACGTAGTTAATTATGAAGTTATTACCCTATCTGATAATGTAATATAATACAGATATATATTTATATATATATTATATATTTATATATGTATATTTATATAGTTACAACCGGCTCTTTGAGTGCTGATGTGGCCCGCGATGAAATTGAGTTTGACCCCCCTGCTCTAAATGGTCTTTTACTGGCTCAATTTCAGATAAAAAGTACCATTTTTTTATATTTTCTGTGCAGATAATTAGTGAATCTGTAATATCTTTCATAAAAAAAGAGGGTTTTACTGAACCACCATTTGTACTGTTGAAAACAAGTTGTTTGACACGTAAATTGTAAAATAATGTGGGAGATATTTGAACATTTGAAATGGAAATGAAGGATAATTGAGTAGATTATGAAGGTAAATAACATACAGTAGAAATGCAGAACAGAAAAATGTGGAAACCTTCTCTTAATATTTTGTTCTAAAAGTCTTAAGTGTACAGAATAAAGGAAACGGTTTTAAATTGAATGAGGTATGTTTAACGGGACNGTTCTCTCTGGAGGTATATTGTGTATGTTTTTATTGCGATTGGGGAGCTGGGAACGCAACATAATATGTTTGAGGAGTTTATGTACCCGGCACCTTCACTGCTGTGATCAAACCCTGTGAGCAGAGACACTTCTGGGGCAGCATGGGTGGCTCAGAGGGGAGTATACTGAAGTACAGATGCTCTGTAACATTACTCTGTGATAGTAGAAGTACATAGATTCTTTACTCAAGTAGAAGTACAGATACTCGTGTTTAGAAATACTCTGGTAAAAGTAGAAGTACTGACTAAACTTATTTTCTCAAGTAAAAGTAAAGAAGTATGGGCTTCAAAATGTATTTAAGTAAAAAGTACCCATAACTAGCAGCTGTTTTAAAGAGTAACTGACCTCCATTTATATGAATAGAACAATAATGTCATTGTTAGCTAATGAATGTTTCCATGCTGAACAACGGCAACATGACAAAGTTTTCATTGGTCCTTCTTCTTTAGAGAAGACCAGGAAATGATGGATACACGGATCGTGTTCAAATCAATAGGCACGCAATGACTCTAAATAATAATGATCACGCCACCAAACACACATTCAGACTAAAGGAACCAGCCTGTTTGGGAAATGAGAGAAGTAGAAAGTACAGGTATTTGTGTTCAACATGTAAGAAGTAGAAAGTACAGGTATTTGAGTTCAACATGTAAGAAGTAGAAAGTACAGGTATTTGTGTTCAACATGTAAGAAGTAGAAAGTACAGGTATTTGAGTTCAAAATGTAAGAAGTAAAAGTAAAAAGTTGTCAGAAAAATAAGTAGTGGAGTAAAGTACTGATACCAGAAAATGAACTTAAGTAGAAGAAGTATTTATACCTCCACTACTTCCCACCTCTGCATTTATCTATATACGTTTTCCTAAAGCCTTATCCTATAGTAATAGAAATGTACATTAGTGTAAAAGCCAAACACATCTTTTGGTATAAAGTGTTCTGAACTGTAGCTCTACAGTTGTCATTATTTGCATTTGAGAAATAATCCATTTTACAGTAAAGTTCAAAAAGGTGGGAATATATAATGCTTGGAAGATCTTTTCGTAGATGACGCATTTAAGCATTTGTGGAAGCAATCGTTCTGTTCTTTTGAGATCTGGCGACCCTGATTCTGACCTATGTACTTTTGGTCAAATGTAAACAGCTGGAAAAGTCAAATGAAGTACAAAATGTTTAAACTGAAACAACTAAGGATTAAAGTCCAGACAAATATCTGTGTCCTCATTTGACTAGAGTTTTTACTCAATGACAGATCGAGTTGCACTTAGGTTTACTTTAAGAATACTGCTCGGTTTTTCATCAGATAAACAGTTTATGTGGCCTGCAAACACTGTTAGAGAAGTCTTTGGATAATTGATTGCAAACTTTCTCAAATAGAAAAAAGAAAGTGTATTTCTAGTGCCTTTTTAGGGTAAAGACAGATTACCCCCTCTAATCAATAAGGTAGGTCTTACTTTACACAGAGATACCCATTTACCATTCACAACCTTTGACCTTAAACTACTGTATCCCTCATGGCCCATAATAACATCACAAATAAGCTTCTGTTCAATTTCTAGAGAGGCCCATAAAACCCTCCCATAAATATCTGAGTCATTGTCTCTATTGGCGTTTTTATTTTACAGACTTTGACTCAGCGGTGTCATTAGCTGTAAAGCATGCAGAGGGCTTGTCAGCATTTTCATGAATATTAAACAAGGATATGTGAGGTTACAACCTGGAAACTAATTTGAACATGTCCCCTAGAGCTCTTAGAGCCATTATATATCCACAGAGACATCATTCCTGCAATTCATCTGAATTAAATGATCAGTCCAGTCTTCATCTGCTGGGATGAACCTATTTTATCCTAATTGGCAGAAGCTCCTTGTGTTGAGAAATAGTTATGGGTGGTCCAGCTGAAATGTTTATGGCTAACATTTCTCTCGCTCAAAGACGAGTGCCTTAAATGATTAAGTCCAGAGTTTTCATAATGTAGGAGAATTATAATGTTTATTTTTAACAATAAAATGTGATGGTTTTTCCCCACTGGCTAAACACGTTTTTCATGTCTGTGCTATTTATTGTCATTGACAGAACGTTTTATATAGATAGCTATCAAAATAAACGAAATAAGCTATGGAAAAATAGGTTAATATTGGTAATGACATGGCTAACTAGCATGTAAATAAAACAGTAACGGTAGAATTATGGAGCAGCTAGCTAAAAGTAATGGTTAACAGTTAGCAAGTTAGCTAGTTAGCTTAGCCTGCTGTTTTTACTTTGGCTAGCTAGCTAACTGATTAAACTAGATAGATAGCTGGAAAAACTGTAAATACAAGAAAACATAAATAACAAATACATAGAGTAATAGATAAACAGTTATCTTAAAGTAATGGATGAATGATAAAATATTAAGCAGGTAGATTAGTTACAGTAAATGGTCAATTGGTAGTTAGTATAGCTAGCTAAAACGGTTAGCTAAAAGTCATGGATAAATGGTTGAAATAGCTATCAGCAGCGTAATGGATAAATTATGGACAGCCCAAAAGGTGAAAAATACATATATTGTAATATCAAATGTATCCAATTCATAATTTAAAATAACAACCATATTATTTAAAATGTCATGCCTCTTCCCTGATATTTTAACAGTAGCAGGAAGTATTTTGGAAGCTCCAAGACTGTATGAAATTACCTTGTGCCGTGGAAGAATGTGAGTCACTCTGGCAACCACCGTTTTTTTATCAAGGCTATTTAATCTTTGTCCCAGGTCCAGTGCCCATGCCACATGCTGGCGGCCACTCAAAGCTTTTTCCGTACATTTAAAATATTATTCATTTCTCAGGGCCATGACTTAGTCTCTCTGTGGAGGTCTCCAATATCAGAGATATAAGAATTATGCCCATTATAGTTCTCTGTCTTCAACAGCAGTGGGTATATTTTGAACCCTTTTAAATTAAGAACGGGTTATTATAGCAAAAATATCTACCTTTTTGCATTTCTTGGATTCCCATAGTGTGCTTTCGTAGCTGATGCGGAAACAATGGCTTTAACATTCACACTATGTTCCACCTCTCATGTGTTGATTCCCGGTCTGTTACTCAGGATGTCCCTTATGCGTATTAGGATGCTCAACAGTTCATAAACCCAAAGTCTTTGATGTTCCCTGCTCACTGGCTCGACTCAACAATTATTGTAATCACAAAGCAGAGACAAATCCAATCATAAACTTTACTCCACTACTCCATTCTCGCCAGTAGGCCTACAAAGTTATTGTCTGCCTTGAAGTGGATTTTCTGACACTTCATTAATTGATCCAAAGAGATTCAGTTAACTTGATAGATCTGTGGTTCTAGAAAATAAAGGATTTGTTTTTGCTTCATTCAGTCAATGCTTAAAATCTGTTCTCATTCAAAACTTAGGCTACTTATAATTTCGTATTTGTTAAGTATCTGAAGGATATTCACAGAGTTTCCCATGTGTGTATAATACAAAGGCCTACCCCAGGACTTCACAATAACATTACTTCACCCAGACATGACGGCATGCTTTAAATACTACATTAATCATGTCAAAAGCGATATGAAGCATCCTGTCATTGTTTAAATGTGTGAAACAACTTCCCAAGCTTTTTGACACCTCGGATAAACATGAATCAAGGAGCCCACTTCTAGAAAGTTTCCACTACATTGTGTGTTGGCAGTGACAGAAGTGAAGGGGAAAATAACTTCTGTTGTATTCATTAATGATTAGTTTGTCTTCTTTGTTCAGATGGCGGCAGCAGATCAAGCGACAACAAATGGAAAACATGACTTTATAGATATGTAATGTTGAACTCGTTAGCAAACAGTGGCT